GGAGAAGCTGATATTTTGGCTTGGAAATGGAGAAAGATAAAATGGGAGGAGATACACAGGGAGAAATGGAAATAAGGAATACAGGATATAGATTTGTAGGTATTGGCTTCCTTAGTTCTGTTGTACTGTTCAATATGTCTATTTTTCCAGCTTCCCTCACAGCAGAAGGAGTGGAAGGTCTTTTTCAGACCCACTGCCTGTAGGCTTGCTCTTACATCGATGTAAATATGTCCTCACTGCTTTTCCTCATCAAGATGCTTTCCTACTGCAGTCTCATAAATCTGGTTTGCAGCAGTTGCTGCACTACAGACCAACTGTCAAACCTCTGAAAGCTTCATCTTTGTCTGTACTATGTCTCTGCACCCATAAGTTCCCCTGAGGGAGGCAGGGGCATGGCTACTGGAGCATCAAAATGAAATAAACATATATTAGCACTGGCAGAATGAATTTAAATATCCTGATTTCAGAGCATCTGCAGGAAAAGCAGAAAGGCTTGATCTCAAAATAGTCTTAAAAATACAATAAAATACCTACTTTACTTTTTATTTCTTATGTATTGCATACAGAAGGTTTGTCTGATGTCCTTAAAGCCCTCTTGTGTGTTCTTGAATCCTTTGCTCATGGTGTGAACTGCAAGGTTAAGGTTGTCAGGGATCGTAATGACCTCTATCTTCTTTTCAAAGATATTGAAATGACCAACCTCATTTGTCCACTGTAACTGGAAGCAGTTCAGTTCTGGTCTTATATGCTACACCCGAAGCCATAGTTTTGGAGTATTTGTTTGTTGGTTTTGATGGGGTTTTGTTGTAGTGTGTTAAGTTTCTTGTGTTATTCCCCCAATTTATGTATTGTTCTCCCCTATTATGTGTAAAATGGGTTCGTTCCCCCAGTTTTTCCCGCCAGTGCTAGACTGTCAGCTAAGTTGCTATAGTAACCGCTATTCATAGTTGCCGATATGTAATTGCTCCTCCCCTGGTTTCCCTTATAAGTGAAAGTTGTTTCCTCCCTGGGCCCAGTCAATCACCCCCTTTTTCCTCCCAGGTTTCGAGAACCTTCTCCTCTCTGGAGATGGTGGTTGGCTGGGGTCCCAGGACACCTCCCTTACCTTTTGATTATTGGTCTCCATGGAGTGTCAGTTCTGTGAAGTTCATCCCCTCACCTTTCCCGATTGGTTCCGCCTGTACCCACCCCCCCTCCTTTATAATCCTGTTTCACCCCCTATGGAAAAACTTCTTCCCGGTTGGTTTCCCCGCGTTTGGATCCCGCAACACCTTCAATAAACCGATGTTTAACCCCCGGGAAATGGTCAGCTCCGTTCCTCCCCAATACCAGCGGTGTAAGCCAGTCTGCAGCCAGCACAGCCCGAGGCCATCAGACGCCAAAGGGTGCTGGCCAGGAATTGCAGAAGGGTGTCGGCCTTTCGCCCTCAGCTAGTCGGACTCTAAACTTCGGGCCACATATGCCCCCCTCTGCAAGGGTTTTTTTGTTTTTGTTTGCTTGGGTTTGTTTATTTTTCCTTGCTTCTCTCCTGTCTCAATCTTTAAATTTTTTTCTACTGTTTAGGCTTTGACAGAAAACTTTGCTATGTTCAATTCTCATCAAGTAAAAGCCAAATACTTGTCATTTATAAATCCAGTAACTGAATGATACATTATTAAATCTTTTCATCATCCTAGGTAAATATAACCAGCAAAATGCTGTCTATGATGAAACATTTGGAGACAACCAAAGCGAGCAGGGAAATGAAGACACTGTTGCTCTTTTGCAGTTATTGTAATACAAGGCTTGTAACAAAATCCAATACAAACAGTGGAGTTAGGCCAAAGCAATTCTAGGTTGAAATGATGATGAAATAGCAGAACATTAGACCTCAATAGCAACAAAAACCTATTTTAACATACTGAGTTTAAGAAATGTAGTGCTTTAGAAATTAGAAATACATGTTGGTTTTTGACAGACTATGTTCTATTTTGGAGTTTGGTGGTGATTTTATTTTTTAATACAAATGTGAATCTCTCAGCCCCTAAGAAATTTCCTTTAATTTATCATACAATGTTATCAGTTGCAAAACAGCTGGTACATTGTGACCACAGGCCATGACAACCCATTGTGTTCACCCCAAGCCTTTTCTTGTTCCTAAATTATTTTCTGTGGGAAATTTCCCTCTAACACAGTTTACTTCACAACCACAAAGCACAGATGCTCTCCTCCTTACTGCACTCCTCTCTTTCCAGCACAAGCTTCATGGAACTGAAACTCATGGAGAAATAATAGCATCAGTGAATTCCCTGCTGCCCACTAGTCACAGAACCAGTTTTTAAAAGATTATGCATTTTTGGCAAAAAAAAAAAAAAGGCAAATTAATTTAAATACAAATGCTATGTCAGCACTTACTCATTTGCCTCTTGGTAAGTGAGATTCAAGTTCACTAATCAAGAAAATATTATAGTTCACTGGGATTTGAGAAGTGCATTTAAAAGTTTTTGTCTTACTTATCTGCATTCTCCACACTCTGTCAGGGAGAATTTTTCACTTCATGTATGTGCTTTTTATTTTTTTTTAATTTGTGTTTTTATGTTTGTTTCTGGACAGCACAGACACTGAAGTGAAATTTTGGGGAAAAAAGACCTGACTACCAAAAAGAAGGTTGTAAATGCTGCTAGTTTTAGCCTCTAGGAGGAAAATATCTAGGATAGTTGAAGCATGTTTTAGACATAAAGAAAAATACAGTATCAAATTTAATTAAAGAACTAGAGCTGCCAGGTAGTAATTAACTGTTTTAAATCTACAGCTGCGTGAGAAAACATTGGTCACAAGAATAATGTTATGCAAATTAAAATGGATGCTTGCGTTGCACAAATTTAAATTTCCAGATATCTGTGACAATATAAATTCCACTGAGAAAATAATTATGCGCTGATCTATATTCAGGTGATCTCCTGAAATGTTGTTGACAGCCTTAAGCAGAGGAGGCAATCACAGAGAAAGACAGACAAGAATAATGCCAATGTTTACGAAGGATACGCCTGTCAAAATATGGAACACCGAATTATAAAAAACAGATTTTATAATAAAGTTATTTGGCTCTTAAAGTGATTACAGTTTAGACATTCTCTCTGCTAATTCAGTCTGCATCACCACAGAACATTTTGACTTAGACAGAAGCTGCACACCACATATCAACCCAAGGAAGGCTGAATGAAATAAAGTGACTAAAGCTTTGTGCTTGGCATAGTCCTCACATGAATGCTTCAAGTACAGGAGTCAGCTGAGGGAAGATCTATTTCTATTCAGGTTCCATTTTTTCCTACATCAAGCAAAGAGTTCTTTGCAAGCATACGTCATCAGCATATAAAGTTCTGAATGTGGGAGGTGCATGAAATGTATTTTATATGCAATGTTATATAAATATGTATACATAGAATATATCTTCTCAATGGTGCCATTCTTCTTTGTCAAGGACACAATATAGTTCTGTAGGAAAAGCCCAATCATTCATATCTACATACTCCATAAGAACAATATTGTCACCAGTGTAGAGACCAGTGTCACCATTCACCCTTGAGATGGAACTGGGTACCAGATCATATGCTTTTTCCTGTGCTGTTTGTGGGCTGGGACAGAATGTTCTGTCTGCATTCTCACTGAGAGTTTGGCTGACTATGAAGGCATGAAGTGCAGAGTTTAATAGTCCAGCTTAAACCTTTCTATGAGATCCCAGCTCCATTTTCCACAATTACCAGTGTTTCTGGACTGTAATCCAGCATCAATAGGGTCTAGAGAGATTGATTAGAAAGCAGCAGGTGTTTGGGCTGAACAGCCCTAGAGAAAACTGAGGATGGTTAGCTGGCTACAGCTACAGCTTTACAGTACTGCAATTTAGCCTTCCAGTCACAGTCAAGAGTTCTTCATCCTGTCTAGGCTGGAGTTAATTTTCCATAAATGCTGTGTTTTGGATTTGTGACTGAAAACCAGTGTTGGTAACACAATGGTGCTTTGACTATTGTTGAGCAGGGTTTACACACACCAAAGCTTCTGCTTCCCACCCTGCCCCATCAGTGAGCAGCCTGGAGGCACACAAGGAGTTTGGAAGGCACACAGATCAGCTGAACCCAAATGACTGCAGAGACATCCCATATAATATGGCATCATGCTAAATTTTAAGGAAAAGGAGCTGTTTCAAGGAAAAGAGAAGACACTCCCAAGATGGAAGGTCTGTCTGGACAAGAGCCACCAGGAGTGAAGTCAGCAGAACTCAGCAGTAACTGGGGGAAGAGAAGGATGCAGAGGAGGGCCACAAAGCTGGTGAAGGGTCTGGAGCACAAGTCCTGTGAGGATTAGCTGAGGGACCTGAGGGTGTTTAGACTGAAGAAAAGAACTCTCAGGGATGACCTTATCACTCTGTACAACTCCCTGAAAGGAGGTTGTAGCCAGGTGGGAGTTGGCCACTTCTCCCCAGCAAAAGGATGAGACAACATAGTCTTAAGCTGAGGCAGGGGAGATTTAACTTGGACATTAAGAAGAATTTCTTCACAGAAAGGGGGATAAAACATTGGAATGGGCTACCCAGAGAGGTGGCGGAGGGCTGGATGTGACACACAGTGCATCATCTAGTTGACATGGTGGTGTTTGGTCACAGGTTGGACAAGATGATTTCAGAGGTCTGTTCCAGCCTGTTTGGTTCTGTGATAGGTAATTCCGGCAGTGGGTGACTACAATCACCAACTCTTTGACCAAAATGGACCCCAGACGCAAATGGAGGGAAGAACTGCACCTGCAGACTAAGTAGCACGAGAAGCAGGACATACAACCAGCAAGCAGGGCTTTGTCGACGGATAGACAAGCTATGCAATTCGCCACGAACGAATGCTAACAGCTTTGTTCGCTGAGGTGCATAAGCACTGTAAAGTTGTGACGATGGGGTCACCGGCCTGCGGCGGGCCCGGCTCGGCCTCTCCCGTTGCCATGGCGGCGCTGGCCCCGCCCCGCCCGGCCTTGGCCACCGCCTCCACAAGATGGCGGACGGCGGGGCAGCGCCCGCGCAGCCGGACGGGGATGTGCCCGCGGCTCCGGCCGCCGGCGCCCGCAGGGACCGGCCGCCCCGGAGCAGCGGCCGCCCGCCCAGCGCCCGGGATTTGCAGGTGAGAGGGCGGAGGTGCCGCCCCGCTCCCGGGGCGGGGTCGGGCCGGGCCGGGCGGAGCGCCGCGTTCCCTCGGGGCCACCCCGGGCCTTCCCTCGGGCCCGCACTGAGGGCAGCGGGCGGTGTGCGGGACCCCCGCGGGGCTGCCCCGACGTGCCCTCTGCACCCACTCGGCTCTGCTTCCTTCAGCTCCCACGCCCCTTTGGGGCTGGGAAGGGGAGGATGCCTCTGGAGGAGCACCAGGCCCTTTAGGAAACGGTGTGTGCTCAGTTCTGGGGCTCTCCCGACACTTCACTAGTTGGGTTTTCACTGTCCTTGAAGTTATTGAAGTGCCATGGCATTTCCTGATTAATTGATAGGAATGTCTTGTCCCATATGGAAATGTCAGTCCGTGCAGATGTGGTGTAAGGCTAAGGACAAGATCTTCTCCCAGGTGTATGTGGGAAAAGTAGAGTGTGATCACAAATGTAATTCAGCATCAGTACTTAAATTTAAAAACCCTTTAGCAGTATTACAAACCCTTTTAGCAGTATTCCTTTTTCTTTTTTTTTTTTTTTTTTTTTTTGCATGTGATTTGACACTTTATGAAGGTTCAAAATCTTTTAGCAAAAAATTGATTGGAAAACAGGTGAAACTTAGTAACTGAAACTGCCCGTGTTCTATTTAATTACACGTAATTGACAGAGAAAGATGTGTATGGGTTTTTTCTTGATTACTATTTGGAATTTTCATAGGTTCCTCTTAAGGTTAATTTTGCTGTAATAATAGGATGCTTTGAGTTGGAAAGGATCTTAAAGGTCATATAGTTCCAGCTCCTGTGCTATGGGCAGGGACACCTTTCACTAGACTGTGTTGCTCAGAGCTCCATCCAACCTCGCCTTCAACACTCCCAGGGATGAGGCGTCCACAACTTCTCTGGGAAATCTTTTCTGATGCCTCACTACCCTCTGAGTAAAGACTTGCTCCTAATATCTAATCTAAATCTCTCCTCTTGTAGTTTAAAACCATTCTGCCTTGTCCTATCACTATCTGCCCATGTAAAACGTTGCTCTCCCCTTTTTTTTTGCAAACCCCCTCTAAGTACAAAAGGCCCCAGCGAGATCTCTCTGGAGCCTTCTCTTCTCCAGTGTTACTGTTGTGTTATTCTCTGGGGTTGCTATTTTGTTGCTACAACGTGTAACAGTAACAAAATGTGTGTTAATACTTTTAGTTGGTAAGGTTTTAGTCAGCTGAAGCAGGCTGGCATTTTGGCTAGATACTTTTTGATAAAGTGTTAAACCCCACAGAAATACCCTCCTGGGTCTGTACTTGATTTGTGGTGCCGCAATATGAGAGGGGGCATGAGGAAAGCACAGAAACCTGGCCATGCCCTTCCGTGCTCTCTCAATCCTTGTATTAGGGATAGCACAGGGTATGTGGTCTATGACTTACCCATCAGCTTTACATACCTGAAAAGTATTTTCTTCTATCCTCAGATGGAATAGAGGCCTTCAGCAGATTTTTTGGGGCTCACTTTTCTCAATTTAATTTTCTTAATGGACATAATTCCTCATATTTATTTTTTTTCCCTGCAGGAAATACCTCATAATATTATAAAAACAACAAAAAATAATATGGGATTAATACCCTGTGTTTGTAGCAATGTGTTTTCAAGAACAGATGAGGTTTCATTTTATTTTAATGTGTATCCCCTCTGCATAAAAATGTAATGAAATTGTAGCCTAGTACCTTTTCTGATGTATATGATAAAATATTAATGTCAATCACATAGTGTGAGCAGAGTGGCTTGGGGACAAAACTAAAGATGATTTGACAAAGTAGAGTCTTATTCAGGATAAAAGAAAGGTTGCTGAAGTGACATTGCAGGTCCCTTACATACATTTCTAAGAACGAGCTTGCCAGTGACGTGGCAGCATTTTGGGAATCTTTGGGAAAAAGTCATTGGGGTTTGTGTAAGTTTTTGTGGCGTGATGCCTTGAATTCAAGCAAGCAAGGCTGAATTTGTTCTTCATCCCAGTACAAGCTTATTTGAATTGTTTTTTACATTTCTCTGTAAAATATTTGTAAAATTTATTGTTTGCTTCTATCAGAGGGTTAGATTGCTGCTTTATTTCAATTTGTTACCATTAATGAGCTGATGCTCAATATTTCTTTATGTATTTACTCTCATGGCTGAATCTAATACAGATTTTATGTAGCTGATGAAGCAGTGGAAACTAAAGGATAGCAGAGTGCAAGTTTCAAGTCATAATGGCATTTAAGCATTGTGTAGTTTGGTTTTTTTTCATAAAGCACAATGGAAGATGAATTTTAGTTGAGGTTTCTTGTGTTGATTTTTCTACTTTTCTGGAGAGATGGATATTTCATTAATTTTTGTCTTATTTCTATGCAATATGTGGTTCTTGAGTTACAGACTTACAAAAATGTGTTTTGTTTCCTCCAGCTGGCCTTGGCAGAGTTATATGAAGATGAAGCTAAAAGACAGTCATTGTGTTCTGACAAGCCAACATCTACAAAGATCAGTAACCCAAAGGGATCACAGAGGTAAGATGTGGGGTTTTTTTCAGAAATGTGTGGATAAGTGTCTTATTAGCTCACAAAACTTTGTCATTCCTGCTTGATCCCTCCTAGTATTAAAAGCAATCTACAGTAATTCATAATCAAAAAATTGTGAATCCCTGCAATAATGCATTGTGTGTCTTCTCAGAATGCTGTTAAAATTTATTTAGGAGCCTTTTTACCAATTAGTATTCCAGGTGTTCCAAAACACTTTAAACCCATTTCATGTGAGGTGCTACAACCAAAATGCTGTGTTGTCTTTTTTTACACAGTCATAATTTGGAAATTTACTGTATCAGAAAATTACTGCAGTTCTTTGTTTCTTCAAAATTCAGTAAACTAGCAGCTTGTGTGAAACTTGGCAAGTGAACTGCTTTCAGTGTTGTATTTATGGCAGTCCCTGATGAGACAAATAGTGATTCTAAAAATTATTAGTAGGTTCCTGTGGGGTGACAGAAATAAGAAGGGCTTCTTAATGAATGTGTTGGGCAGGTGGAAGGAAAGATGCATATCTGTATTTCAGTCCAGCTTTTCCTAGAACACTACTAAGCTGCAGTATTTGTAGTTCACATAACATTTGAAGATTCAGAATAGCCTTGGATGTTTTTTACAAAATTATCTTGCCAGATTTTAATTAATTAAAAAAATAATTTAAAGAAGATAAATATTTATAAAACTACTGACAGTGATGCCATAGCAAGTCTTGTATGTGGCTTGTTTTTGAATCACTGCTGCCAGTATGGATCTCAGTGTTAAAGGAGGTCAGGCAACAGAAAAAATCTTAGTCACTAGTTATGCTTCAAGTTCACTGCAGATGCAGAAATCTCTTCAGGAATAGAGATAGAATATGGGACATTTGGAAGTATAGGGGGTTTTGAGATTTTTTAGTTTATTTCGGTGAACACACCTAAGCTGACTAACCAGCTACACAGAACTAAGTTTAAAAACAAATAAAGCAAACACCTCAATTTCCCAGTACATCTCATGAAGTTAAAACTCCCCACTCCCAAGGAAAGGAGAAGCTGCAGTACCATATCTCAAATACTTCAGTGTAATAGTCGGCAAATACTTGTTATTTGCTGCCATTCATACTGGAATCTGTGTGAGAAGGAAGAGAAAAATTAGTAGACTTCAGTTTGCTCTCAGATGAGAGCAGTGCATTAATTGCATGGAAATAGTGCTGCTCTTCTATGGTAGAAAAAAATAATTCAGTTGGAATTGACCTTTTGTGACCATCCAGTGCAACTGTTAATGCAAAATGACTCTGCCATGTGTGTGCTCTTTCCTCCTTGTTCACTGAGAAGCATTCATGGCTGTGTACTTCAGCAAAACAAACCCAAAAAACCAAGCAACCAAACAAAACCCCAAAAACCAGAAAACACAACTCGATATTCTTAGTTTTTGAAAAAGAAGTCATTTCAGAAGTTAGATATGAAATTTATGTGCCAGTCATCTTCAAATATTTTCTTTTGTTCTCTTGGCAGTCTTAAGCTGGATTCTCTTAAAAGATTGAGAAAACCGGAGAGAAGCATGAGTGATGACAAAGAAAACCAAAGGTAATTTTAAAACAAAACAAAACAATTCAACAGTTGTGAAAGTAATTGGGGTTTGTGTCACATTCACACTTTGCTCCCTCCTATTCTTTCAAAATGCATGTGAGCTAGGTCTGTCCTGCAAAGAGCTAGGGGACTTACTAGAGTGTTAGCTGTACAGTGCTGTTGTAAAATTACATTTAGCAGAATCTGGCTGGAGTGAGGTAGGACCTGTAGATGCTGAATGGTTGTAAAGGTTGTAACTTACACTTGTGCTCAAAACCTTTTTGTCATTCTGAAAATCCTGAATTGTTCTGTGTATCTATTGCTCAAATATTTGAGTACTTCCTTTCTTTCTTGAATACAAATTCTGATAAGAATTCCTGTTTCATATCCTTACCACAATCATTGTTTTAAATCTAATAATTAAAGATTTTCCATATAAATGGTAGTTGGGTGATAAACACAGATTTTTTGTACAAATGAGACATGTCACTCAGGGATTGACAGTTATGTGGCATTATAAAAACAGTATGATTGTGCAGTAACCTCATACCCAATACTCTCTTCTGGTAATTGTAAAATATGATGGAATCAACACATTGTGAAGGCATTGGTCTCAGAAACAGTTTCACATGGATTGACTTGCTTTCCCCAAATGGTTAAATGTAAAAGTTGAGGAAAGTGGAAAGCAGTTATTAGTTATTAATGCTTCCTGTAATCAAAGGCAAAACAATCAGGTTTGCCGGATTTTGATTTATTTACAGATTTTTTACAGCATCTATTCCAATGGTATTTAGAGATTGTAGTGCCTTTCTCTAGATAATTCTTGAGGAATATCTTGATCTTCATCATCAAACAAATACAGTTTTGAACAGAACTATTTGTAGTTTACATTTTGTCTTCAAGAGCTAGTAATGGTGCTGTGAAGGAAAAGAAAAAAGCACAAATTAGCTTTCACAACAGTTTCTGCAGGTTCTAAAATGCCTTGAAATGTTAATTATATTTATTTTAAAATTTCCGTTTCTGATACTGTTGGGAATGAATGTATGCTAGATCTTTGAATTAAAACATTAAATTGTGGCACTGTTCAGGTTTTCCAAGAACAGTTTTATAACTTTTTCTGCTAAGGTGGTGTTAGCTCTGAGTTTATATTCTGTCCAATCCAGGCACAGTCCCATGCACAGGACACCCCTGAGGAAATCAGTCTTTCTGGGAGTAGATGACAGTCATATAAAATACCCAGCTCCATCAGGACTGTGTTCACTTAAAACTTATGGCCTTGCCCTCTGATCTTTGGGATGTGTTCCAGAAGGCACCTTGGTTCTTTGTTAGTCAAATGTCTTTAGCATAGTGCTGCTTGGATTATTGAGAAAGTTGGAACCAAGTGAAGCATTTATTAGAATGAAAAGGATTTGTGCCAAATTTGCCTCTTTGTTAATTTTTTTTTCTTTTGATGGAAAGAGAAAAATTATGCTTGTTATTTAAGGCATTGTTGCTTATTTGCATTACTATTCTAAAGATTTTATTCAGGTGACTCAGAATATAGAGGATTACAGATTTCTGGGGCTTCTACAAACCCAAGTAAAATTGTTGCTGAGCTCTTCAAGGAAGCAAAAGAACATGGGGCTGTCCCATTAGATGAAGCCTCGAGAGCATCTGGTGATTTCAGTAAAGCCAAGGTAAAAGTTAAGAAATGTGTTGATCTCTCTTTACATTTGTGTTTCTGAAATTCATCAAACCACAGGAGAGCAAGTGTCTCTTTCTGTAATTTACAAATAGCAGATTTGCTCAAAACGGTTCTATATTGTCTGTTTCCAAACAGCTTGCTCTAGAAAATAAAGGACCACACAATTTCAGAGGAAATAATTAGAAATCATCATGAACTGGAATTATATGCTTTGTTTTTAATTACAGTTGATTAAATAAGAAACCAGACTAAATTTGCATCCTAAATCTTACCTATAGAATTGCTCCTAGAGTTGTGGTCACCAGTTCAGTGTCCAGATGCAGGTATCCATAGAGGGACCAGTGTCCAGACAAGGTATCCATAGAGGGACCAGTGCTGTTCAATGTCTTCATCAGTAACACAGACAGTGAGGTCAACTGCACCCTCAGCAAATCTGCAGGTGACACCAGGCTGAGTGTTGCAGCTGATGTGCCTGAGGGCTTGGATGCCATCCAGAGGGATCTGAACAAGCTTAAGAAATGGGCTCATGGGAACCTCATGAGGTCAACAATGCCAGATGCAGGATTCTGCGTCTTCATCGGGGCACCCCCCAGTATCAGCACAGGCTGGAGCTTGAAAGGATCAAGAGCAATTCTGGGGAAGGACATGGGGGTAGTGGTAGATGAAAAGTTGGACATGACCCAGCAATGGCACTCACAGCTCAGAAAGCCAGACATGTCCTGGGCTGTATCACAAGAAACATGGGCACCAGGGTGAGGAAGAGAATGCTGCCCCTCTACCCTACTCTGGTGGGAGCACACCTGGAGTGATTCATCCAGTTCTGGGGTCCACAGCACAGGAAAGACATGAACCTGTTAGAGTTGTCCAGAAAAAAGCTATGAAAATAATCAGAGGAATGGAGCATCTCCCCTGTGAGGAAAGGCTGAGAGAGTTGGGATTGTTCAGCCTGGAAAAGACGAGGGTCTGGGAAAACCTCATTGCAGACTTCTAATACTTAAAGGCAGCCTATAAGAAAGATGGGGATAGACTTTTTAGCAGGCCCTAAAGTAGGACAAGGGGTAAAGGTTTTAAACTAAAAGAAGGTAGATTCACACTAGGTATAAGAGAGACATTTTTTACAGTAAGTGTGTTAAGACACTGGAACAGGTTCCTCAGGGAGGTAGTGCATATTCCATTCCTGGAAACATTCAAGTTTGTGACCTTTAAAGGTCTCTTCCAGCCTGAAGTATTCTATGATTCTTATGTTTGAAAAAGTGTACAGAACAGAAGCTGAAATGTGTCACAAAACTTTCTTAGTCTGACTGTGGCTGCTAGATATAATTTTCCAGTTAGAAAATAGATGATAGAACAGTACTTGCTTTTTATCTCAGAAGCAAGCTTGTGGATGGCTTTTTTAATCTTTTTTCTTTTTCACCTAAGTAAGGATTTTGATAAACTGTTTTAGATAATTATTTTATAAGCTTTTTTTTTGTATTTTTTCAGTCATTTTCTGGTGGTGGATACAGATTGGGTGACTCGTCACAAAAGCACTCTGAATACATATATGGAGAAAATCAGGATGTAAGTAAAATTCATAGCAGAAAACTGAACCTCCAACAGAGGCCTGCTTAATCATGTTTACAGCTTGAAATGCCAGTATTACTGTAACTATGTTTATGAGATGAAAATAATATCTAAGTATTAGCTATGTGTTCAGTAGAAATTGTTGAAGTTTCCAAAGAGATGTTTATTGGATGCCCCTAAGGCTTCCATTATGGAGCTATCAGATGTAAATTACTTTGAAATTCTTAGCACACCTCCTTTCCAATGTTGTCCTTTCCAGGTGTTGTCCTGGATTCTCTTAGCTGTGGTAACATTTTAATGCTTTTAGGAATTGATTCTTGTTGTGGCTTGCAAAGCACCCCATCTCAAACTGGAGGGCATGGATGGTATTCTAGGGAAGGGGAAGCAGCAGGCTTGAGGCCTTTCTTTCCTATCACTTAAAAGGCAGGATGTGTAGGAGAGGGTGAAGAGAAAAACAGTCCTCTGCACTTTGCTAGTTTTATGAATGGCTGAAGCAAATTTTCAGCTTGTCTAGAAACAGCTACTAAGGCCAAAGGATGTGGTCCTGGCTAGGGGGTGCTGTTGTGCCACACAAGGAGCCTTCTGGTCTCCAGCAATCCTTCTACTCCAAGTAACAGCCAGCTGTACCCAGCCAGAATCTTTTTGGAGTGGGCTTTCCATAATTGGGAGCATAAATAGCTTTCTAAGGGAAGGCCAGTTATAGTGGCTGGGGAAGCCTAGTTTTGCTGGATGGCAAAGCACTTAGAAGGAAGAGAGGATGCAAGTTTTGAAGCTGGAAAGCCCTGGCTGGACCTTTCATGTAGGATGTAGCGAAATCAGAAGGGAGCAAAGGAGCCTGGTTTCCAGGATTCTTAGCTTTTGAGCTGAATGGAGCTACTTTCAGATTTGTTGGAACTCAGCATGTAATAGTCTGGGGAAAGTGTAGGTTTTGCTGTAACTGATGTATCAGCAGTAATTTGTAATTTTATGGGTTTATTTCTTAATTTCGCAGTAAAAATGTTTACTATTTTTGGAAATAATTAGAACATAATGAAGATCACTACACCCTCACTGTATCATACTTTATGTCATGGATAGCAGATTAAGAGATTCTTTTTCCCAAAGTAGGAGAGTGGTCTAGAAGAAGATGGTAGTGTGTAACTATGGGGCTTTTTAAAAAATAATCTAACAATGACAGTTATAGTGCAAGGTATTGTTATTATTTTTTCATTTGCCTTCTTGTTTGTGGTGTTGTACAAAATCTGTTTAGTGTACATCAAAATTTCTATAACTAGTCTGTACAAAATTGTGCTGCTCTCTTTGTCTTTCTTCACTTTTTTTTTAACTTGTTTTACTTCATAGGTTCAAATTTTGCTGAAACTGTGGAGGAATGGATTCAGTTTAGATGATGGCGAGTTGAGATCCTATTCAGATCCAACAAATGCTCAATTTCTTGAGTCGGTTAAAAGAGGGTAAGTTAAAATGACAACTTTTTTGAGGTATGTCTTTGAAGTGAAGTGAACAAAAATCCTTTCTCCACACACTTATCAAAACTTCCAGATTTCTTCTTTGCCTGAACCCATAAAATGTGATCTGTATTTGCCACCAGATGCATGGGGCACTTAAAAATTTGCAATACTTTGGTTCTTTTGATGGGCTAACTCTGAATGATCCTTGCTACAACAGCTTTTATGTTCACAATTTTTTCCTAGCTCATTCTATGATTCAGGTGTCAGTATATTCTAGGTTTTGACTGTTAGTTCACTGATTTTTTTTTTCTTCTTCTTTTAGGGTGAAATCAATTCATAAACCAATTGAATGTGACTTTGAAAGTATACATAATCTTAGTATTGACTCATACTGTGTGTGTACTTTTTGGTTGATTTCACAGTTCAGAATGTAATTGAAAGTGTAATTATTGTAATGTATTATTTTTATAATTCAGGGAAATTCCTTTGGAACTGCAGCGACTTGTTCATGGTGGCCAGGTAAATTTGGATATGGAAGATCACCAAGAACAGGAATATGTGAAGCCCAGACTGCGATTCAAAGCTTTCAGTGGCGAAGGGCAGAAGCTTGGAAGGTGAAAAAAGCTAGATCTGTTCTGTGCTCTGTATTCATATGCTGTTTCATTCATGTGACTGAAAATTTCAGACTACTTTGTCATGGTTCCATTAGTAACATCTGCTTTGGTTTTTTTCCAATCCTATAGCCTTACACCTGAAATAGTCAGCACACCTTCTTCCCCAGAGGAGGAGGAGAAATCCATTCTTAATGCACCTGTTCTGATTGATGATTCCATGCCAGCAACTAAAATTCAAATTAGATTAGCAGATGGAAGCCGGTTAATACAAAGATTTAATCAAACACACAGGTAAATTGATTCTGCATCCATGCAGGTAACAGTAGCTATTTCAATAAGTTTGTGTTTTGTCATTAAATGAGTCGCAGCAAGACATCAAAAAGGGGGAAACACCAGCCTTGCTGAAATATTTCATTCTGTGTCACTTTCATTACATGGATATATGATAAACTGACTGTCAAAAATTCTGGAAACACAATATATTTGATAACTGCAACTTCTGTTCAAACTTTTAGAACCAATGATGTCCTTCGTTTTTTTAGGACATAGTACAAGCTATAATTGTTCCCAGGACAACTGAAATCTGTATAGCCCCACTATGTAGTCATCCCAGCCCTGGGCCCTCTTTGGGAGGACCGGGTGGATAAGTTGGGAAACACTGTGAAAGCACTTTATTGCAACGTGTGGAGTATAGTCTTAATTGGAATATAGTCCACACTATGGGCAGAGAAATCCTGTGGCCCATAATCAAGAATTCCAGCTTTCTACCTGGTTATACTTAAGGTTGTGACAAACATGACATGGGCTGTAAGGGTAGACTGCAGCCCATATGCAGGAGGATATTTAGACACTTCATGCTCATTTGCAATTCCAGCATGTGGGTAGGACATAAATACTGAGAGCTAACTTCTGTTTTGGATAGTCATCTCCTAAGAATTGGCAGTGTGTGAACTTGATGGAGGTTTTAGATTTGTTAGTAGCTTTGCTGATTAGAACTTGGCACCGGTTTTGTTGATGTTGGGGCAGTGCCACAAACAGTGTTGGCCAACCCCATGAGGTTATGTTAGTGCAAGGTTCTGCAAAGCTCTGCTCTCCACTGCTGAGAGATCTTTGGGCCGAGGACAGAGATTTGGGCAGCAGTTCCACCCATGCTTTAGCACTGTTAAAGCCAGCCTTAATTTGAAATCTGCACAGTTGTGTTAGAACATGGCTACAGCTCGAATCCTGACTTGGAGGTGGTGTTGGCATGGGCCCATTTCCATGTTAATATTGTTACATGGAGAGCTCATGTGTTTTCTTTTTTCCTTCTGGCTCAGAATAAGGACAAAATGTAGTTTTTTACCTGACAGTATACACAGACCACAGTGAGAATATTTTAGCTGAGATACGAGTAGGGGGGAAGATACAACAGTACTTTTTGACACTTTAGACCTGATAATAAATGCTGAGAGTGCAGGCCCAGATCCTTTCTTCACAGCATCTGCTGAGAAGTGTCTGAGACAAACCACGGGGCTTATTGGGAGCCTCTGTAGCTGAGTTGTTGTTCTTTGCATGGAAGGATAGAAGTGGTAAACTTGCCAGTAACATCTGTAACAACCTAGATTGTGTTGACTGGAACTTGTTTAATTATTATTAACTTTTTCTTGACTGTGAATCTTTGTGGTTATCTTCAGCAGCTGATTTTGATCATATATATGGCAAAGTGCATTACTTATGTCAAAGGCCTTGAAGACTGATAGAAAGCAGAAATCACTACTTATTTGGCTACAATAAACTTGCCAATTTATTAATTACAAAAGATCTTCACAGATTTATTCTCAGCTTAATGTTCTCAGTTTTCTATTAATGTCTTAATAGAAAACCCTCAAATTTCAGGATTTTATCTCTAAAATACTATTTTTTATCCATGTCTTAAAAAATTAAATTCGTCTTGTTATACTGTTTATGTGACTGTTTTATTAACTATTGTTCAGAAGTTCACTACCAAGTGAAAATAGGGGAAAGCTCTTGCTATTGAAGTGCATTAATGATTCCTGTCTGCTTCCTCTTCACTCTGACTATATATTTTAAGATTCTTTCTTCTTTCTAACAACTTCATCTTTTTGGAATATACCTATTAATAATGAAACTTTTGACAGTGGTGTTGAGATTACTTGACTTCCTGTGTTGGGAATCAGTTTGCAATATACTTCCATGATAAAAATTTTGTTTCTCTTATTTGAGGAAACAAGCAACATTCATTATCATTTTTCTGGGGATTTTTTTTTTGCAAGAACCAAAAAATTGTGAGCTATAATCATTACATCTGGATCAGAGAGAAATATATATGAAATCTAGAACTTACTTGGTGGTTTAGTCTGCTTAATGGTTTTGTGTTCTCTGATCATGTTAATGTTCAGAGATGCATGTCAGATGGAATCATACAGAGTTTTCATGTCCATCTCCTTTTCACAGGATTAAGCATATTCGAGATTTCATTATCCAGTCCCGTCCAGCTTTTGCAACAACGGATTTTGTTCTTGTGACTACCTTTCCAAATAAAGAGCTAACAGATGAAAGCCTGACACTACAAGAAGCAGATATACTTAACACTGTGATTCTTCAGCAATTAAAGTGATCTTGTGATTGTTTTACAACATAGGGACCCTGCTGTACTGTCATACAATATGTTTCCAACAGATGAAAGAAAGGAGATATCAGTGTTTTTTTATTTCCTCTTTTCCAGGGATCATATTTTTGGATTTCATGTCTTCCAGCTATAACATATCTAACTTTTTTATTTTAATTTCTCAATATTATTCAGGTTATTTTCAGTCTTAAAAATAAGGTTCTGTATGTTAATGTGTTTCAAACCACATCTTATACTAAATGTGAAATGAGATAGGACTTTGTGACTCAGTTTTTTGAGGGGGGTGGGGAAAGGTGCATTTTTCTGAAGGGGACAGTATCTTTCATAGAGTTGGTAAGATTTGCACTATGGAAATGTTCTATGCTGCATTGACAAACAGCCATTTGAAAACTTAGACTGTAGGTTATGTTTACCTTGAAAATGGTATTAATATTAAGGTGTTCTTTTTAATAGGTTTACAGATAATTAATGCCCTAATATAATTTTTGTATGTTCTATTTGTAGTGTTTCATGGTGTAGTATAATATTTATATGATAGTTTTTATGTCATTTTCCTTGTATTGTTGCTCGTATGAGTGAATCAGTTCAGGAGATGCAAACCTCAGCTGTTGCAGACTATAATAGAATGTTCTTATTTGTAATCTAGTTGTGATACTTGTGATGAAAATAAATATGAATTTTTTTCTTCTTAGTTAGAGAAATGTGAGAGACCACTGTCATCTGGGGAAATTATGTGATTTACAGGAGGCCTCTGGTCATTACGAATCTGAGTGTGCAGTTGGACCCTGTGCAACAGCATGACTCCTTACCCAAACAGTTACTTAACCCCAAACAAAAATACACTGAGGTGCACAAACACAGAACTGGTCTACTTTTGTGCATGCAAGTGACAGCATAAACGTGTTAATTGGTCACATATTTTTGACCTGAATTTCAGTTGTTTATATTTGGAATTTTGGCCAAAGATATTTTGTAGTATTCACTGGGGATTTGGTTGTACAGCTTTCTTTACTGTGCTTGTTTGGAAGCTGTATAATTAAACCCCTTCATCTTTGAAATTACATATTTTATAAAAGAACCTGCCCCAACACTGCACTAAGCAGACAGGAGTCTTATGTTGGGGGAAACTGGCTGCTGTGCTTTAGTAGTATGCAGTTTTTTAGTATTTTTGGATTTATATCAGATGAGTGGATCACACTCTGAAGGAGTATAGGTGGGCTGTATCTCTTGTACCAATATGTGTTGAAAATTGCTGTTTTCCATGTTTAATTTGTTCTGAAAATATCAATACTTGTTTATTTATGTTAAGGTTATAATTGCTTATTATATTCTTACATTTTTACCTCAAAGTAGATATTTGACTGAGTAGATTTTAAACATGCAGTTGTATTTAAAGTATTTTGTTTTGCAGTCTGAATATCTGCATGATTTTAATCATAATTCATTTCATGTGCTAAATAATTAAAGCTTTATGTTTAAGATCACAGACAAGGTTTCTTGTGTTATTCCAGATTTATGTTGTGATAGAGTGGTAATTGTGTTGTCTGCCACATATTTAAGCCTAAACATAAAGGAATTGTCATGTACTGTGCAGGTGTTTTATATCCAATATACAAACAATTCTCTGTGTAAATGCGAGGCCAAAGTTCGTGATATCAATTTGGGCAGTCTGTGGTTTGGGCATATTTTGGTTCAGGATACAGGTAAAGTTACATTGCTTATTACTTCTGAAGACCATTATTGATTAAGCAGTGATGTATGAAGAAAAGGGGTTAACTAAATTGTTTTTTGCCTCTTATGCCAAAACCTACAAGTACACAGTATCACAGTCTCTTTGTTTCAAATACCTGTTGAATTTTAGTGTTTAATGGCAGCTGAGAGTAACTGGGGGTCCCAGAAGTTAACAATATTTTGTCTAGCACTAAGAAAATGTATCAATGCTTATGTTTAAATATTTCATGCTTCTCAGTACTTAAAAGCCTATGGAATCTTCCACCTCGTAATTTTATGTCATAATTTTTATTATATAAATTGTCACTTATAGCTAACATCTTGGCATTTTTGGCACAAAAATGTTCTTTGAGTGCAGACCTATGTGGATATGCAGTTAAGACTGGCTACAAGAGAGAAAGAGCTTGGTAGAGGATGATGATCTTTCTCTCACAGTAAAGTTGCTATATTTAGGAGTAACATTTAGTTTCCCTTAAATAGAGGTAATAATCCTATTGCTTGCTCTTGTAGGCAGCCTATGAAAGGCTCTGGCTTCATCTCTCCTTGACTTTCCTAGAAATCCTTTATCACACAAGAGCCAAATAATCAAAACCTGAATGTTTTCCTTAAAGAAAGCTCCTCAGTAATAATTGATTCTGGATAAACACAGCCTTGTTAGTCTTTGGGTTTTGTTTTTTTCCTCAGCAGTCCACTGAGATGTTTGCAAGCATTCTGCTTTAATTAAACTACTGGACACACTTGTATAATTAGCATATATTAGCAGTAATCTCATGCTGTTCTTGCTCTTTGGTGAAAATCTGTCCAATGTTAAATGAAGCAAGGAAGAGCACACAAGTACTCTGAGGAGCTATTTGCTAGCTCCCTGCTTAGTTGCTTGCACTAAGTTACAGGTCCCATGGTCCTTAAATTGTCTTATGCTGTGCAGGGAGAAGAGACAGAGATGCATCTGCCCCTTGCCCATGCTGCTTAAAGCTGGCAGGCCTCAGCATAGGCATGTGCTGCTCTCTGGGCAGGTGAGACAGCAGCAAGAGGTGGGGAAAATGCTGAAACAATGGCCTGCCAAAAGCATGTCTGGTGTTTTTGTAGGATGGGTATAATTGCAATGGGTCCTGAAAACAATAAAAGTGGGGCTGCTTCTATTTAGCCTGGAAAGCACTGGCCCTGATATGGGGTTAGATGAAAACAGTGCAGCAGAACCATCTACACCTATTTGAGGTTTACAGAATTGACTTTGTGACTGGGAGATGATTTTAATCCCTATGTTTGTAATTAATGAACTTGATCAAATTTGAGTTTATGATGCTGGTTCTGCTTCTTAACGACCTCTCTTTTGAGAGAGCATTTCCATTGAGTCTTTGGTCCTAAGTTAAATTTCTTATCTTAAAAAAACTCTAAACAGGTAACTTAACAGGGATGAGGTGATTTAAAGTGGGCAGTTACTTCACAGGGAGGAAAGCATAACACTAATTAGAAGCTTGTTAATTAAATTAATTAAATTTCCACAAAGCTGGAAATTTAATTCAGGTATTCTCAAAGGGAAATTCAAAAACAGTTTTCAATAGCTGAACTACTGGAATGAAGCAGCCTTAAAAATCAACTTTCTTTTTTGTTGTTGTTTTTTTGTTTGTTTGTTTTGTTTTGTTTGTTTAAATTTTATTGTTATGCTGGCTTTCTGTAAGATTTGTCTTAATTATACCAAATTTATTTAGGTTGGTACTGATGTAAAATAAAGTAAAAAAAGATGGCTTCGTTTTTGAAAAGCAACTTGCTTTGCCTTTGTCTAGTCATAATTAATAAATTCTGGTGTATGTTTCATATTCAAAGGGCTGGAGATGTTATGTATATCACTGTATGAATTCAAAATTTCCTTTACAAGCCTTCCAAAAAAAGTCAGCTGAATATCAAAGAACTCAGATACTGGAACTCAACTTCTTACACTTCTAAGTTTTAATTCTCCTTTAGTACTGGTCTTGTTCTGCCCATAATATAAGAGCTCCCTGGCAGCATATCTGAACGTTAAAGCAAAGAAACTATGTTTAAAAACTTTTTCATCTAAAACTGAGAAATGAGGAGAGTTCTTTTCTGTTCACTAGGAGCTGTCTGCTCTGGAGTTAAATATGTGATCTACAAGTTATGTGGTTTAGCTCTTTTTCAGGGATATGGGAAGGTAGATTTGTTGTTCCACACTGCATTACAATAAATCAAGAGAGAAATTCTTAACTGTATTAAAATTAAATTTTTAAAAATCCTTCAGGGAATTATTCTGGAAGAGATACTATTTTGCATTTATAAACCTTTTCCAGTCCAAATTAATTTGGTGAGCTCTTAGACCATTTAAATACTACCAAGCAAGAATTCACAAATGGGAATAAGCATGAGTCATTTTTCTAATCTGATGTTTCTAGCTGAAGTTTGAATAGAAGGGACTGTTTATGCAGGGCCATGATATTGGTATTTGTTTTGTAGAATTTGTAGTGTCTGACTAGCTGCTGATATAAGAATTTTGATTGTCTGTTCTAGAAAAAGAAAAATCAAAACCATTTATAGTGTTTACTAGCTCTAACCTTAACACTACCAAGTAACTGCACTTTGAGGACAAAGTAAATTTTCTGATTTCCAAATTAGATTTTCATTTTTGTAAACTTTTTTATGACAATAGCTTTCTACAGTGTTTTGCACCAATGGAAACCTCAGAACTTCAGTGCTTGCCTTGTGTAAGCCACTGACAAATTTCCATTTCAGTGCAAAGAATTAATTTCTGTTTATCTTATAACAGTTCCTAATCAAATTACACTAAGTCATCATTAATCAAATGTTCACAATGTAAATTTCCTTACAGTCTCTCATGACAATTTAGTCAATTTTAAACTAGATTTTGCCAACCAATACCTCAGCCTGAATGTGAAAGTGGACATACTAGTTTTTTTGTAAGTTTGCAGTTCATAGAGAAAAACATAGATAACATGTTTACTTCTATTTGCATTCGAAGTCTTCTTTACTTAGCAAACTGATTCTTAGTATAAGAAACTGAGAAATTTTCAATAGAGAAGACTCTGTCTCTGAATGCAGAAAAGTGCTACCAATCTTTGTCCATGAATGAGTATCTCAATACATGTCAATAGTAGTTTCCACTGATTGATTTATCACTTTTTTAGTATTGGTTCTCTTGTTTTGATACTGTTTTCCCATGTATTCTTTCACCTCTTTTAACTATAAAATTATATTCTGCATATTGTTATTAATGCGGGACTTCTTCCCATAGCCCACAAATCCTGTCATCTAAAAGGAATCATTGAAAGCAGAAGAGGGAGCATAAGTGGATATAGGCAAATGGTTGTGTCAAAAAGTTTTTTATTAAATTATTTGCTCCTGCTCTTATAGTCTAGTAATTAGTTTCATTTTCTAAGGCCAATTACTGAAAGCTGTATTTCATGGGAAGGGACACCGACCTTAAACCAGGTCACAACTGCTTGGTAACCTTGGTCACTACACAAAAAATTGTAAGCCCGAATTTGCTTGCTGAAAGAACTGGAGAGATCAGACAATTAGACCTTAAAAGGATCTGCTCAGGGTTCAGTCTTACTTTTTCCTCCCCCTCACTCTTAAATCCTAAGACTGGAAGAGTTTGGATAAACCACACACACCTTGCCACCATAGGACTCAATATGTAAGGCTGACTTAGCTAGTATGTTCTGTATTCCTGTTATTACAAAGCCTGGCCTTTGGAGTCCAGTTCTGTCTGAGTTTTGTGTGTTTGTAATAGTATCTCATGGCCCAAGTTAAGAAAGAAGCTTAGATCATGTATATAATAAGGATGTGGAGTAAGTCATAGTGTCACCAAATAAATAAATGTGAGAAAACTAAACCTTGAAAGGATTTTGGAGGAACTTTGAACTATTCATGTTTCTTCTCCAACATGCACTGGCCTCTTCCACACAGAGGTTTTCATTTATTCATCTAAACATTATTTTGGGCACGTATAGAAAGTCTCTTTAAATTCTGTCTTTCTATACAATTCCTATTGGCCTGCTTGTAGGCACCTATGGGAATAATGAACTTTATGTTCAATGCTTTCATCCTAGGTATTTTTGTGGCTGGTTTCATGTCTCTCAGCATAAATAGTGGCTGCCTGGTTGTAATTGCAATCTTCAGGCCCTACTGCAATAAAACTTGGAAACAATAAAAGATCAGATTCATGTTCATTATTGTTCCCATCAGCTGTAGCTCCTACTGCTTTGACTGATATCCAGTATCAGAACATGTCGACCTGGCAAGGTCTGTTTGCCTTTGCTGTCTCTGTGGGTGGTATTTCCCAACCGACTGCGCAAGCAGAGAAGGTAGAGCTGACCCGAAGTCAGTGATTTCCAGATGGCCTTTACTCATAGTCAAGGCCACCAACAAACACACATTTAGTTTTATGAGTTTTCTTAGAACAGTAGCCTTTCCAAGCTCAGAGAGTGCTGCTGGCTTTGTACAAGTACACTAACCACTTATTAAGTGCTGTTCAAATAGTGAGATGTCTTTATTATTAAGAAAGATACATTTAGCTAATAGACTTGCTAAGAAGATGATCAGAGGGATAGAGCACCTCTCCTTGGAGGAAAGACAGAGAACTGGGATTGTTAAGCCTGGAAAAGAGAAGGCTTTGGACTGACCTAATTGCAGGCTTCCAATAGCCAAAGGGAGCCTTCAGGAATAATGGAGAGGGACTCATTTAGCAGGGAGTGACAGGATGTGAGGAATGGCTTCACATGGAAGGTAGGTTTAGATTGCATATTAGAAGAAGTTAGAAGAAATTAGAGCATTCTCTGTGAGAGAGGTGAGGCACAGGAACAAGCTGCCCAGAGAAGTCATGAATGCCCCATTCCTGGAAGTGGTCAAGGCCAGGCTGGATGGGGGCTTATGGAAGATGTCCCTGTCCATGGCAGGTGGTTTGGAATCTAGATGATTTTTAAGCTGTCTTCCAACTTAAACCTTTCTATGATTCCATGATACTCTTAGATGAGCAAATCAGTCTCTTTCCTGTAGAGTAAAAATGTGAGAGTCAATAATGTGGTTTTTTGTAATATTTTTGTAATATATTCACTGAAATTGAGATTCTGTAGCATTGTTATAGAAAGCTTGATCATACTTACAAGGATATTCAATTCCTGCAACACAGAGTTAAAAAAACCCCATAACTATATAATTATGGTCCTGGCAAATGACTAGGTGGATGTTCCTTTCTCCTTTCTTTATCTTCATGTTCTGAGGGAGGAATAGATTATAATTCATATCAGGTATTTCTCCTGGAGAACCTTCAACAGATGTGAGTGACAATGAAAGACACTGCTTTCTTACTCCAGCTATCTTAGCACCACAGAGATTTCAATCCATACTTCCCAAGAAGGCGGCTGCCCATCTCTGATGAATGTCATTCCATTTTTCCTATTCTTGCCTTCTTAAGCACCTGCCACTGAAACTGAGGGAATCTTCTGACAAGAAAGATTTTCATTCTATACTGTCAGGATCTCATCTATTATGTTGCACCTCATCCATTTTATTTGGACTTCTGCAGCTAATGCTTCTGCTCAAGTAATGACATGCTTGTGTGGCTGATATTTATATTCCAGCTTATATTCCAAGAATTCACCTTCTTTCTGAGAACTATATTTTTTGTCCATATTTAAGAAATTATTTGGAAGAAATATATTAAAATAGAAGAAAATAACTCTTCCTCAACTCAGTAATGAAAGATTGTCACTTTTCATTCAGTCATCACTAATGGATTCTGCTTTTTACACTCTGCACTTTTTTTCCCCCATAGCTAAGCTAAATTTTTCACATCAAAGATCTTGATTATCCTTTGACTTTTTTTGACTAAGTGGACAATTATCATGTTTAACTTAAGTTCAGGGCACTTTGGCAGTACTACCTCCCCAGTTTTACCCCAGTAATTGTGGTTTCAGCCATCATTGCAGCTGATCTGTCAACCCGTGACATGCTAAAAACTGCAGATAGTGCAACCTGGGAGAACTTCCCCTTTCTATTGTTTTTCTTTTATTTTTTCTTGTTCCTCTGTGTTCTAAAGCAGAACAGATGGAATTGCTGTAGAAGTCAGCAGGAATTTGTTCTCATCCTGTGATCCAATGGGTTTTATAGATAAGGAAGTTAAAAGGCAAACAAAACAAAGCAAATCTTGAGCAGCAAATGACTTTTTGTGACCTTCCTCTGAGCACTGCATCAGAGGTTAAACAAGGCCAAGTGCAGGGTCAGGAAACTGCATGAGGGCAACCCTTGGTACTAGCACAGGCTGGGGCATGAAGGCATTGGGGGCAGCTCTGTGGGGAAGGATTTGAGGGGTGCTGGTGGATGAAAAGCTAGGCATGATCCAGCAATGTGCATTCACAGCCCAGAAACCCAAACATGTCCTGGGCTGCATCAAAAGAAGAGGTGATTCTGCCCCTCCACTCTGCTCTCAGGAGATCTCACCTGGAAGTGCTGTGTCCAGCTCTGGGGTCCTCAGCACAGGAATGAGGAGTGAGTACAAAGAAGGGCCACAAAAGTAAAGAGACAGCACCTCTCCTATGAAGGCAGTCTGAGAGAGTTGGGGTTTTTCAGCTTGGAGAAGACAAGGTTCCAGGAAGACCTCCTTGCAGTCTTTCAGTACTTAAAGGGGGCCTGTAAGAAAGATGAAGACAGACATTTTAGCAGGGCCTGTTGCAAGAGAACAAGAGGTAAAGTCTTTAAACCAAAAGAGGAGACTAGAGATGAAGAAATTTTTTTCTGATCTGGGTGGTGAGACACCAGAACTGGACACCCAGAGAAGTGGTAGGTG